ACTTTATCGTGCGCGAGTTCGTAGACCATCACACAGTACAATGTAACCGCCAAGTCCGTGGGTCTAAATGGTATGAGGGCGAGTATCCTAGCTCCCGGTACGTCATCCAGACCCATAAAATGACTTCTCCGCGTTCCATGAAACACAACGACGAGACGGGGTAAAGTACCCTCATGGTTCGCAAAACTCACGTGGTCGCAATTTGCCCCTGTCTCTATTGAGCTCGCCACTCACTCGTCCTGCTTTCCTCCGCCCATCAACGCATACCGACCTCCACTGTCATGTCATGACTATTTTCAGATGTCGTCCACGGCATACGGAGCCCTCCCGCACAGGACCCTATCAGGTCCATCGTGTTGGCGAACGCCGTAAAGTAGGCCTTTGTACGGCAAATGAATTCGGCCACACCGGCGCGTATCAATCTCGCGAGCGTGTTGTTGTGATCCGTACCACGCTTCTCGTCCTTCTTTCCTGCTGTCCGGTCCTTCCTCCTCTTTCTATACGCGCCCGTGGTATGTATTTACTGCGGTCACTATGTTTGTGGATTACTTGGAGTGATTTCGAGGCGAAAAGGTGGAGGGATAGGCGTGCGGATGGAGCGCTCACATGCGCGAAGCATGTTGAATGGCACTGATTAGAACCTTCTGCCCACACCCGGTGCCTCACGCGACGATGGTACATATACCCCGCTTAGCTTGGACCGGCTTCGTTGGTTCGTTTGTCCGCTCCCCCAGCTACCTTCTGGCACGACCTTTCCGACGAGCTCAACGACAACGACGAAAGCCATGTTCAGTTTCAAACCCGCTTTCCTTGCGCTCTCTTGCGCCGCTTTGTCTGCTCTTGCGGCGCCCTTCCCGGCCAGGCTCGACAAGCGCATTGTAGTTGACCCGAAGATTACCAGCCCGACGGCTTCGACGGTATGGACAGTGGGGCAGACTGTCGAGGTGACATGGTACGTTCGCGCTTAAACCCCAACTATATGATATCCTGACGATACGTTGTGTAGGGACACGTCCGCGATCCCATCTGGCCAGACCGTGTCCGGTATGCTTGTGCTCGGTTTCCTCACGGACGACAGTGAGAACCTGGACATCGGTAAGTTACCCTTTCTGTAATCCTTATCGCGCTGCACCCTGCGGCATGACCGAGCCCCTATCTTTTACTCCTATAAATCCCACCTGCCTCGCTATCTTCTGTTCTTCTTCCCTCCATTCCTCACCCCGCCACGCTGCGATCGGTGCTGACATGAAGTCACCTGGAAGATAACCCGCTGGCACCCAATGTGACACTCAACGATGGCAAGACATCTATCACCGTGCCAACCGTGGATCCCAAGACAAACTATATCGTTGTCCGTATGTGGCTTTCCTTCTTCTCTCATCACGCACACGACAGCTCATTGCCCTGATCTTCGCAGTATTCGGTGACTCTGGAAATGCGTCGCCCGAGTTCACGATTCAGGCAGCGAGCACCACGAGCTCAGCATCTGGTGGCAACACGCTTATCGGAACGATCACCAGTTCACTCCTTGGTGGTCCCGGCCCCATCTCACATGCGTCCAGCACCGCTACGTCCCCCGTGAGCGCAAGTGTGACCACCACAGCGACCGCGAGCGACAGCACGATTACCAGCACAACGCCTGGTGGCCCGCTCAGCTCCAGCGCTTCCGACCTCTCCAGCTCAGTCAGCGTTCTCACAAATACGACGCCTGGCGGGCCCATGAGCTCCGCCACATCGCCCGTTTCATCAGCTTCATCGACTGGCTCATCTACCAGTGCAAGTGCTAGCGCGACCTCCGCCGGCAGCAACTCGAGTGCTGCACCCCGCACCAGTGCAACGACGTACTCCTTCCTTATGGGGGCTGCTATCGCCCTTGCGATGTGCTTCTTTGCTTGATCAGACCCCTGTTCTTGATACGGCCTTCACTATCTCACGTAGCCCCTGTCCCATGCCAACACGACCCTTGCATACCACACGAACACTGATCACCAATTGCCCCTACGACTCGACGCCCTCCCGTAGCGTTCGTAATGCCCCTCACCCACGCCCGTCTACTCATCGCCTTGGGCAAGCGGATTTGTACGATAGTTAGGATGATTGCTTGCTTGCTTTGCGATGTACATGTTCTGCCCTCTTTCGTCTTGCAGCTGCGTGGCCGCAAGACGCATCCGTCAAGATGAACGACGATGAGGTTTGTTGTGTGGGGTGCAAGTATCTTTATCGTCGTTTCATTACTCGTACTGACCTTTTGTAGGCAAATGTCATCTATTGATAGTTCTGTATGTTCCTTCATTTCACATTGCGCCGGCAGTACTTACCATCTTCCGCCAGGTTTGCCACTCCCTCCCAAGAAGACGCACTGCGTGCTTAACATGCTCGCCGATGCACGCGATACATACCACCCCATAGTAACATGCGCATACAGTGACTCGGATGCAGCTCTCATGTCGCGTCTCGTTTCAATCCACCACAACTCACGTGCGAGCAAGTTGGACATTCGGCGCCTCTTCCCGTTGCGTTGCACAGTTCTTTCTTCTCGAGTAGAACTGACTCGTACCATGTAAAGACTAGTTTTCTGTATATCTTATCTCACCGAGGACGCCGCACGGTCGATATATATCGGTGAGGTCTTCCAAGTGTCGCGAATGTTTTCTGACTTTTTGTGAAGCAACGCAATCCTACCAGCTGCTCATGCTCCCGCGGCACCGTCGCACTCTGACATGCTTCTCGCCCATGGTACTCGCAGTCGGTGCTGCATCGTCCTGCCCTCGATGCCCGCCCCGCTCTCACTATGGTCTTACCGGTTGGCCCGGGCGCAGGAACCCACCGCCGGGAAAACAATTGTCAGCGTCGTCAGCCGTCCTCGTACAGAGTTGCATACGCTTCCCGCATGCACAGGCATGCACTTCCCCAAGGCCTGTCATTTTCGCCGCTAGAGGCCCTGCGGCTTCCTCTCCTCGCCCCAGTGGACCGAGCACTCTTCTCGGCTTCCCTTTGCGCCCTTCCTTCGGCATGGTCCTGGACCTCCACCTGCATCTTTCCCAACAAGGACGCACGTTCATATGCCGTCAACGCCACTCGTGCCCGCAGGAAAGCGACGGCGTCTTCGCGCATCTGCCGAACACTCTGGCGCCCGCCTTGTCTTCCCTTACCTCAGCCAAGCGCACTCTGCGGTCATCGGATCTGTCATAGGCGCGCTGTACACGTCTTTCGTCGGCCGGCTACGTCTACGATGAGCTTTTCGGGCTCTCTCGTCCATCTACGCGCGCTTGCGACGCTCAACACGCAGTCGCCGTGCACCGAGCGCGCTGGACATGCACCTGAATTACCCTTTCATCCCGGCGTGTCGACGGCACCCGCAAGTTTGCGCCCGTCTCGGTGGTTATCAATATCGGCTTCTTTCGCCTGTACGCCAACTGTCGCTTGCACGCCGCGCGCCTTGTGCGTGACCTGTCTGCGCGTCTTCTTAGCCAGTGCAAGGTCGACAAGCCGCGTACTCCGGGGCCTCCTCCACAGCTCCCGCGTCAGTATGCATGACCTCAAAGCACGCCAAATAACAGAGCGAGGGGCGGCGCCATATTGCTTGCGCCTTTCAAGTATTCGTCGATTCAACTTCGGAGTTTGCGCGCGAGGATCACACGCGCTTTCCACGCGCGAAGTAGTTCTCACCAACTTGCGAATCCAACAACCATTCCGAGTTCCGGGCGGGCCGCCTCAATTTCCCACTTGAACTCAATCCATCTGGTCTTTGGAGGCTGCTGGACCTGACAACGTCTCTGTGGTGGACCACCCCAGATATCTTCTGCATGCACAGCGAGCGCCCGGATCTCCTCTAGATGCAGTAATTGCCCAGCTGCACCGGTTCTCACGATCGTCAAAGCGATGTGGACGTTTCCGCCGCTAGATGTGCAATAAATCGCCCATTCACCCATGCCCGCACAATGCCCGTATCCGTCAACATCCTGGTGCATCGTCGCAAAGGGCTCCCTGCACGTCTTCCAATACTGTTTCTTGAGCATATGACTGTGGACGATCCACGCTTCCCTTGGGATATCGAATCGAGGCACGCCACACGCGCGTGTAATACTCTCTCGGACGTTTCCGTGCCCACGCCGCTCCGCCACCTTTGTACCCATGCTCCGGGCAGGAAGATGCGCGGGCTCTAGACTTTCATTATCGATCATCACTGCATCTCTGAGCTCATCTGTGTCAACTGCCCCATCTGCTATCCCTTTCACAGCTTCATCTGCTATCCCTTTCACAGCTTCATGTCTGCAGCTGCGATTCTTTGCTTTTCACGTTTCCAATCTATTGCGCTGCGCGCCATCGACGCGACGAAGAGGCGAGGACAGCGGGCGCCGTTGCGCGTTCATGCTCTTGCCACGACGCGACACATTGGGCCATCGACGGACGGTTTCTGGAGGGCGAAATGCAACGGGAGGGCGCGAGAGCGTGCAGGCGTATCACTGTCAGGGCGCTCACCAACAGTTCGGTGTCGTCGGCTGTCGTCGGGCGAACGAGACATGGCGCTTCGCCCACTGCGCCGACGGCCCCACGCCCTGGAGGCGCTCAAGCTCGGCTGCGGGCTTTCGACGCTCGCTGTCTGTTGTGCTTGCGTTCCTATACCCATGCACTTCCGGGCGTCAATATATTTCCCCGACGACAACCTGGGTTCATGCGTGTGCAGTCTCATTCCTTGCTATAGCAGGGAACTGACTCTTGGGACTCTCCTTCTATCCCTCGACCTTTGCCGTAGCTTGACGTGCAGCAAACCTCTAACGCCGCTGAGTGCTGCCGCGGGGATGTTTTAACTGTGCGTCGCCGATCTCACCGGCGCTGCGGCTGGAACAGCCCCATGTATGCGAGCGCGTTCGCGGCGGACCTGTTTCTCAGTCAAGCATGTCGATCTCTAGTGGAAACCCGCTTGCTGCATCTGCCCTGGAGAATAACTATAGCGACGAGACCCGCGATCGCGCGCCGGTGAGCGTTGTTGTCGAGTTGTGTTCCGCCTACGTAGTTCACGCAACTGTCAGGTCTCGAGATCCAATCTCTACACTAAGCAGCAGCGTCACTCATGACATGATGAGATTTCCGCGGCCCAGAGTCGTTCCTGTTTGCGCAGGGGAATCAGGGTGCTGGAGGTTTTGTTTCTACGAGCATCGTCGAGCATATGTGTTGGAGAAACGAGAATTTGGCACTCTTTTCAAGATGGGTTCAAAGCAAATCGGGGTCTACCCGTATACATCGATGTAGTACGATGTAAGTATGTCTAGCGATACATAATATGATAACGACAAAAACACCCGCACCAAGGCGGACCCAATTGAACACAAGGAAAAGAGAACCGGAAGGGTAAAACCGTTAGACCGTGAAGACCGTGTAAGAAAGGCGTAAGGAATCTACGGACATCTAGAGCGTAAAGATGGAGGCGTACGAGATCATAGGAGGGGATGTGCTGTACAATATTGAAACACCGGCGACATAAGAAGCACAGGAACACAGAGAGCAAACCCTCCTATCCGGAGGAGAGCGACGAGCGCGATGTTGTCACAGTTATAATGATACAGCTTGTTATTTTGTTCAAGGCGTGGCGCCCGGCGCAGCGCGTCTAGTGGACGTCTAGTTGGCGTTGAAGTGCCACTTGATGTTCGAGAGAACACCCTTGTCGAGCGAGGCGAACTTCTTGAAAACGGCGGGCGACATGTCTAGAGGTTAACTTAGTCTTATTGTTCGTTACGTGGCAATAGAGCAGGGTATACCAAGAGAGCCGTAGGCGCAACCCGGGCAGCTGTCGACCATCTTCGCCGTGACAGACTTGCCGCCCCATGTGATAGTGAGGGACTGGCGAAGCGAGTAAGCGTTAGAGTTGCAAGCGTCATGCGGATTTATAGATTATCTTACCTGTCCACAGTTGCCTCCATCGTTGTTGTCGTAGAACTCCTTCGACATCGCGACGACCATGTCGCTGGAGTCGTTGGTCCAGCCGCAGTTACCAAGGCCAGGGTAGTAGTAAGTGCCCTGTGCAAATGACGAGCGTGAGCACGACGCGTCGCGACGCGTTGAACGGACGCAACTTACCTGACCCGTGTGCGTGGTGCGCTTCTCGAGCTCAACCTCTACAGGGGCGGCGAGAACAATGCTGAGGAGTGCGAAGAACGCGGCGACGAGGAGGGTGAAGCGGAACATGGTGATGATCTAGTCAAAAGGGAGGTGGATGAAGCTGAGTGTACGCGGCGTTGCGGAAAGACCGGCAGTTGCAGAAGTGAACTGTGGAGGAACTGGAGGTGCGGCGAGGCGACACGAGCTGGAGAAAATGGGCTCAAACGCCATCCTTTTTATATGCTCTGGGAAGCCTGAGGGCATGTTGGGAGACGCGTGTCTGGACCGCTAAACTTTGGCTGCAGGAACTCGCGCGCCCACTGCACATAATCGGATCCGAGCGCACAAAATGAGGGTGATGGAGACAAACCAGCAACCAGGTACGGCGACGGCAGATCGCCGGACCTGCGGCATTCAGCGAGGAACAGTGCTGGACGTCCTCTGGGCCTGGAAACCTCACGAGCCGCATGGCGATGCGAGTCTTTTGGTCTCCCGGTCTTCTTCCCACGCGCTGGCGCTCACGGACGTGCACAGACGCGCACAGGCGATGCACCTCGTGTTGTGCACGCCCTCTGCGCGCCATTTACCCCAAATACCCCGTCCTGCTGCGAATTTTGGCGGCGTACGAAGGAGAGCGCGTTGCAGCCCTCGCCGCGCGTTGCTGATCACGGAGCTGTCCGCCAAGCACGGAGCTTGCCATCATCCACCATGATATTCCAAATTCTCTTTTTTCCGGGGTGACAACTTACACTTGTGTCTAGCCCTTTGTCAGGTACCACACCTCACCGCCGCATTATCCGGTCCTTTACGAAGCTTTTCGCCCAACAAGGCAAGTCGTCTTAGGAACTGATCGGCGAGGTTCCTGGAAGGCTGGACTCAAAACGTGCGGGAAGTCTATCGGCTCCGCGTCGGTTGAGGCATTCGTCGTTCGTTCCTCCATCCAAAAGAGCGACATCCACTCGCACACGCCCGCCCGAAGTTTTCTCAAGAGCGCATTGGGTCGGCTCTTCGCTTTCAGGAATGCAGCCGCGTCATATGCATTGTCTTGGAAATTAGCTATTCACGACACAGGCGTTCTAGAACGCCTAACTTGGCCGCGAGAAGGGTGCCATTGGGTTGCAGTCGCGCGACTACCTCATGTCAAGAGCCACCGACTGATCCTCATCTAATGCATATGCGCAGTCGCGAGAAAAGCTGCATCTCACACGCTCACTAACACGCGTCGTCAATTACATTACCTGAAACTGTGTACGGGCGCTCACCGGTATTGCTCTGGCTCAGCGCTCAACTTATGCCGAGTATTTCGTGCGTGATGTTGGCTTTCCGTTATGCTCCCGTTCATGGATCATGGACCTGGCTCTTCCACTGCCAATTTCCGACAACGGAATCGTTTGAAGAAGGTCCTGATCGAATACCCCATTGGATCCTGCCGCTGCATGGCCCAGGATCACACTCGCCGCTCTACCTGTATTTTCCTGCTACCGTCAGACTATTCCGTCTCCTGAGTATACTGTAGATAACATCAGCCGCCGTCCTCTGTTTCTGCGACAGGGTTCTTACCTTATGGCTGAGGCTTATGCATGTCATCCCATGGCCATGTCGGTCCGTGTGACATTGCGCGCCAGCGTCCACTTACCTCCATGACTGGTTGTCTACTCCGAGTCATCTAACCACGTTCTCCGCTGAGCGCTGGAGCATTGGTTTGGGAACCGTTCGTACCGTTCCGACGACTGTAGCTCGAAGATGTATTCTTTGAGATGATTTCACAGGCCCGAATTTCCAATAGCCACTCTATGCTACACAGGGATTCATCTCATCACTTCCCAAGCTTCAGGCTCTTGTAGTGCGGCTGATGATGTGGAGACGAATGAGCAACTGAGTCGCTGTAGGACGGCAAAACATAATGCAAGATCAAGGCGAGGCGCGTGAATAGCTGGCGGCGGGAATTTAGATCCCCGAGGCCAGTCCGAGGCGGTACCGCGCTCAGCGCGCATTTCGGCTTCTGCTGGTCTTTTGTGACCCAACGCACCACTTGTGTCTGAGATGATTGATATTACGTGACCTTGACCTACGCAATACAGTCACATTATCGATGGTCGACACATATCAAAGCTTGCCATGGTACCTTGTCTGAAGCGTACTATTCGGCCGGCACAGGTAACTGAGCTGATGGCACAAATAGTTCGATAGTCCATTTCACCAAGCATAGGCTGGCGAGCCCGACAAACATTCCTAGAGCTTAGAGCGCAGTAGGGTTGAACTTGCGGGGGGGAAGGGGAGCCCGACGTTCATCATCTCGTCGGCTGCGTCGAGGGCTGTGCGGGGTACTACTGTAGATTGGGCTTCCCCGACCATCTCCCAACCTGCATGATGCATAATGATCGATGATCACCAACTCTCAATGTAGTGAGCCCAGTTGAGTAAGAGTTTTGTCGCAGTTTCTGTCTCGTCTGGGTCGCGAGACTATGACGCCAGCCCCATCCATGATGCATGATGAGTAAATGCTGAACAGCTTGACAAGCAGTGACATTGCAAGATGAAGTTTCAGCGGGCAACGCGCATACATGCGAGCGACTAGCAGAGTTCAATTTCCGGGGTATGTGTCCAAGAAAGGGGGGTGATGTAATGCGTAGGCAGAAGGTAGTAGGGAGCGCGGGGGGTGTAAGCGTACACTAAATGTGCATAAGGCAAACACGGGTTCATGCATGTCCAATGTCCAAAAACGCAGAAACACTGTCATGGCGTGATCGTCACTGTATGACGCTTACGCGGTGATGGTGAACTTCGGGCTGAGGTTACCACTGTCACCGACAACTGCAAGAGATAATCAATATCCAGTCGTACACATATCAATAGTGAAAGACACGCACGAGCAAGGAAGTACGAGTCGCGCTCGGTCGCGTTGGCCGGGATGGTGTAGTTCACGGAGCCGTCCGTGAGCTTGAAGCCGTACGCAAGAGGGTGGGCTGTGTATGCGGCATTAACACAATGTTGATGGATCGTTGACAATGGGAACATACCGATGTCGAGGTTCTCGCTCTCGGACTTGCCGTCCGAATAACCGAGGTACAACACGCCGGTGTAATCCTTAGCCTCCTCGTCGATCTTCGAGGTATCCCACGAGGCGGTCTGGTTGGAGCCAGCCTTGTACGACTCACCGCCCGCCGGAGCGATGAAGCTCGGGGTGACGACGACGTCGGATATGGGGGTAGTCGTAACGACGGCACGCGCATGCTGCTGGGCGTAGTTGCGGGAGAGGGGAGAGGCCGTGACGGCGGCGGCGGCAGTGAGGAGGCTAGTGAGGAAGAACTGCATCTTGACGAGAGGTGAGGGGCGTTTGAGGACGAAAGGACTGAACAATGGGAGACGTAAGAGACCGAGGCGGAAACTAGGGTCGTCGAGCGACCCCGCTAGGTTTATATGCGAAACCGGAAGGCAGACACGAGGGTTACCAAAGCTGCTTCGCGATCTTCGCGTCGCGAGGTGCTCTTACACTAGTCGCCTGTTGCGTTCTTCCGTGACGAGAGCAGGCAAGCGAGTAGCCGTTACTATCCATACGCCCGCCTTTCCATGCATGTCAGAGCAGCCAGAGCACATGCCTCGCAAAGCTCCGCCTCCAGCAAGAGTAAAAGCTGGGAGTCTGAGATACCAAGCAAGGCTTTGAGAACACCCTGTATCCACGAGCAGCGTTAGGCGGCTCCACGCTTCGTTTGATCGGAGGGTGGTGGTTCGAGTTGAGGCCAGTTGAGAAGTCAACATGAAACGCCGTCGGCTGCGCCGGATCGGGTAGACTTCCATCTTGTTAGTTCGCTTTTGTTGACTTGACCATTAATAGCTTCATGATGCTCCGACGACCGGACTGCGTGCATAAGTATCGACTACGTGCCGCCGCGGATGCGAAGATTAAGAAAGCAACAGGGTCGGAACCGTTGGCGTCGGGCTTATAGCGACTATCCCGTTCTTGGAAGTTGAGGATAGTCCTTTATTTCTCAATGCGCTTGACTGACACGTGCGCCTTCCACTGCCAATCGCATATAGGGCACGATGACCGCTCTGTTGTGTAGTGGCACTCCCGTGGTTAAGTGAGTGGTGAGGACTGCAGGTATCCAGGATGCTATGCTAGAAGATCGATACTCGTGTCAACCATCATCTAGGGGAGATTCCACATCTCATACGTACCCGTGCCTATGGATATATGCGCCCTAGATCTCGGCTGGCTGATCGAGAACAGTACAGCAACAGTGTCGACTTCGATGTGGGGCACTGGAGTACGAGGTGGCAAGTTCGTGAGGAGAGGCTGTATCCTAAGGATTGCTCGTTTGAAAACATTCCACGGACACCATGAGATAGCTGGCATCGAGGTAATGGGAGACTGCAAGGTGTATTGAAACAGCCAACGTGCGCCCCGCTCTTGCAGATGATGCAAGTGCAACGTGACTAGGAGATCGTGCTTTCTGATCTCTTTCCCCGCCTTGTAATATATGGCTTGTTTCCATGCTTTGTGTAAGAGCTTTCGCCGTTGTGCGGCTCTCGGGAAAAACTCAGTACGTGACAGAAGTAACCTACGTACATAGCATACATCGTGAAACATTGAATCGAACCCCCACCGAACTTGACTCTCAGGCGCGCTTCTTCGGCGCAGGCCCGGAGTGTGCAGAGCGCAAGGATATCGCGATGTGTCCGTATGAGTCCCACATCAGCCATAGTGGGATGACAACCCAGCTGTAAGCCATGGTCAGCGCGTGTACCGCGAGCGCCGCTATCTCGATGCTCACATGACGTTCATGAACTGCCGTGCAGACGAAGGTCAGCAGCGGCCAGACGAATGTACCGGCTTCACGTACGACTAGATAGACCCAGAGGTAAAGCCAGTGATGTGTTGCGAGAGACGGTGAAGCGGTCAGCCACTCGGGGCAGAAGGTCATCCAACCGCCGTACAGTTCACCTGTGCTGAGTACGACGATCCAGTAGTGCCGAGCAGGATCGTTTCGGGCGATCTGGTAAGCAATGTAGAGCGCCAGCGGTCCACCTATAAAGACAGTCAGAAGTTCTAGGGACACTACAGTTGGGTCCGCTGTGCCCCAACGATAGTCGGCCGCTGCATATTCGCGCCCTATGATGAAGCGCTCAGACGTACGACAGGTCACGCTCATGAGAAACGAAGGACGCACAGACTTGCGCAAATGGCCCACTGCCAGTGTTGACGGTGCGACCAAAGGTCGAATGGTAAAGGAAACTGGCTTCAAGGATGAGGTGAATGAGGCCGTCGAACACCTGGGTAAATGTTGTTTTAATGCATCTCTCCGGGTTGTTGAAGCTAGGCCGACGTACAAGCCAGATAAAGGTTGTTTTATCCTGCCAACGAACTTTTGGCGGTAAGAACCTTCGCGCAGCGGTACTCGCAAGCAGATACGTGGCCAATACACCTGCGAGCGAAACGGCAGATGTTGCAGTGAAGATCGAAGGGGGCTCGTGCGTCTCCAGCATAGTTCAGTGTTTCGCGCTTCTAGTTAGGGCTTCGGAGGGGATAGCGTTTCTCTCGATGGGGGAATCTAAGCAGGAGCGCGATGAACGAGTAGTGCTGTCAGCAAGTGGTGGGAGTGGGCAAGGGTATGTCGAACGATCTCGCGCCCGCGCACACGGCGCGACGGCGCGTGACCGCGGGCGCCTCGGGACCGCGCATCATGATCTGAGCAGCAGAGCAAGAGGTGGGCGAATATATGCACAACCTGTACCCTAGCCCATAGCACGGCTGTGCGACAGTGTGACAAGAGGTGAATAGATGTATGGGCTGAAGGTGACCCATACCGAAGGTGGAGAAGAGGCTAGGAGCGTCAGGGTTTTCCGATCACGGCATATCCTACGACTAGGTGAGCTCGACCATGATGCAAGCTACCTGAATTCTCAATAGTTGTCTGTACCATACAGCTCATACTTATCGAGGCTACTGTGTCAGCCTGACTATGCCTGGCTGCAGGTCGTAGACGGTGAGACTTATAGGCTTTATGAAGGGCTAACCCTACAATGCAGTTCTCATGAGTCCGAAGCGGAAGACCTCTATGAGGGGATCATGCACAAGGGGTGTCGGTAAGATACGACCATGTTTATACCCGGACCCGGGTGCTGCTTTGTAGGATCGCATAAGGACGGAGTCCGAACATCCGCTCCCGAAGGTGGATCAATGTGCTGCTTTGACGCTGGCAGTGGCGCCTCGAGCCAAATGATCCTTCGCATCAGGGTGACAAACCGAGGCGCGACTTGTCATACATTCGAGCGGTGAGCAACGACATGCCGTACACGCAAGAAGGAACTATAATTCTGTCAAGATCATGCGACCGGGACCGACGAAAAGACACGTCATCTCTTCAGCAAAACCCCAATACCGATAGCATCGGACGTGGGGTATCAAAACCTACAGCTGAGTGATGCGAAAGCGAGATACGGAGACAAAGCAGAGTCTGCAAGCATCTGCGAAGCAGCAAGTGTAGGAAAGAAGGCGTGATCAGGAATACGTGCGGAACTGAGGATATATTCGGGAATTATACATGAGGCGGTTGACCACATGCATACCTCGGAACGAGGCGAGTTAACGGAAGGGCGACTGATGGGATACAAACCAAGATGCGTATAGATAGGAGGTTCAATCGTAATACATAGCCGTGGTGTAGATGTGGCTGGAAGGTAAGCGGGAACGAGATCGAGGGCAGAGTGCAGGCGGCTCAAGTAGCTACGCTCCGATGAAGTCAACGACGAATTGGGCGGACACTGTGTGTTGTTGGTCATCATCATCCTCAAACTTGACCTGGTATGTCTGACCATGATCGCGTGAGAGCCCATTGTTTGGCAGATAGTGTGAAAACTCACCCGGCCTTGAGACTCGCGCAAGCCTTGGACGACCTGTGCACGATAAAAGCAGCTTGTGTCCGGGTACAAGGCAAGTACGATGGATCCAGCCGGGTGTTCAGGATACGCGCTGATATGAGACGGACTGTTGTTCGGAGCTTCAAGATCGGGGAGTGGTCGAATCTTCTGTATCGTAGTTTTGTACAGCCTAGCACAGATCAACGCGGTTCCACATCGAAGCATGATCGCTCGCTTACGCTCCAGGACTGCCATCGTCCATGTCTTCGGCGTCTTGTACCTCATAACTATCGAGTCTGAGACGAACCCAGGTAGAGCCAGGAAGCATGCACGCACTTTTTCTTACTGCCGTTCAGCGTTCTCACAACCTTGGCCAATATCCAGGCGGACTCGTCGCCTTCGCCGGGCGTGAGAAATGCAATCAAACGACCGGGTTGTAGTGGCAGCTGTGCATTCAAACGAGCAGAATAGCCTTGAGGTCCAACGGAGCCACGAGGGGTGGAGGGCGTATGTCCTCGCCCTGCGGGCGAGCTTCCGCGGGGACGTTTGACTCGTTTAACAGGTTCTGCAGGCGTTTAACTGGAATACCAAATGTGAAGGAGTATGCCTTACCTGGCGGCGCAGACTCAGATGCTCTCCTGAGACCAAGTAGGGTAGAGACCATTTCAATAGCAGTGCTGAGAACTCTACAAGTTGAAGAGAGTCAAGCGTCAGCGCACAACCCCATGCCACGACGAGCGGACGATCATACTCAGCATCGCGTTCAGAGCTTGACTTAATGTCATTCAACCCAGAGGCGAGCTTCTTGTGCAACTCTTTAACACCAGTAATCCCGTCCGGGGGCATGTCATCAGTCGGCCAGGCAGAGATGAGACGATTCACACGGTGCACAGTGTCGGAGAGGTTAGCGCTAGACGACGCCTTATTGAGTGCAGACATGGACTGATAAGTACGAGCCCAGTAGTCCACCTCTGAAATATGTGTCAGATACCTGTGTGGAAGTGCAAAGCGATACCACATCTCAAGGATGGATATTCCTACCTTCCGAGGATACGGGACGTCGGCGACGATCCATTCAGATGCGCAGGGGAACGAAACACCAGTGAGACTTGTTGAGATGCCGTATGGGAGTATATATTAGACCTGATACTGATTCTGAGAATCGAAGCTCAAGCGAAGTGCGTGCTGGTGGTCGTGGTTTCGCAATGAGCCGCATTCGGACCTGCTAAACTCGAAGTGACATGTGACATGTGACCAGCCGTGATCTTTCGCGCGCCGGGCGCTCGACCGGCAATGCCGCGCACATTGTTTTGCGATCGTCCACCATCATGTTGTTGAGGGTTGGCGCACCCTTCCATTCGGGCTCATCTCGCCTGATTTCGCTAGAACGTTCGACTAGTTTGCCGTTGACTCACCGTCTCACGAGAGTTCCCAATGGAGATATACTCCTGTCTCGCCGATAACGGTCTCTCGCGCTGGTGCTTGTACTTCCGTTCTCCGCCCAGGTTATGCCTATTGACGACGGTCTGATTCCTACATATGAAAGCTCCTAACCTTCACACGCCTGACCGAAGCTTGGCGAACACCTAAGGGCAGGGACGAGCCTCTTTTCGCTGAACTCGCCTACGGGCACAATCGGCCTCTCACTACGCCGTATACTCGCCACTTGTCGAAGGAGACTTGAACCGAGGGATTGGCACTTATATACGACGCCATTATATTTGTCTACACGTGGCGAGATGCGCTCACCTGGCCGGCTTCGTGGAACTGTGTGACTACAGTAAGAACATGCCCAGGGCGCTTCTGCTTGACGGATGCGTTCGGGACTCTGGCTCTATATAAGTCTACGGGAGCCCGGGAAGTCTTTACTGCGTCCTTCTCCCCGGTACTGGGACTCAGTACTCACGACTTCGATTTGCTTAGCCATGGCTTCGTCTCCTCCCACATGGCCATACCTCGGCTTTGAACAGAGTCCCCCCTCTACCACTTTTGATGCTTGCAGCCCAAACTCCTGGGTGCATAATGACTATCTTGAAACATCCACTATCTTCATGTCTCCAATATCTTCTTCGTCGATGCCTTGGGGCTCTCCTGCGTCAGCCTCGTTCGAAATCATGGATCATACGCCCATTAGAGGCCGCTCTCAGCCTGTCGTTCCTGCCCAAGGGTATGTGCCGTACTTTGAGCTACCCCGCTGCCTCTCACTGAGACCACTGCTGCAGATATACACCGCTCGTGTACCAACCGATGTTTACGGCATCTCACTCGAGATCGTCTCCGACGCAAGTGACTGGCGACCACATGCCTTCCACGGCCGATGTTCGCCACTTGCTCGAGACGTTGTCATGTTCGAATACGGCACGCTATCCCAACTCTGGGCCTTACGCCATATATGAAGGTCACAACGACGCAGCCTCCCAGTCCTGCTCCTCTCTGGCGTCCGCCGGTACCTCAGTCAGTTCGTCGGTACCGACGATGTGTCCTGAGGACGCCAGGGGAATGTACCCGCCGCACATCTTGGCCCCTTGCCCAGTGGCCAGATCGCGCGCGCGTAATTCGGTCTTTACGGACGACGATGTGGACGTGGCATTTGCACTTGTCCAAAGGCAAACTACGACGAGAAAGGGCGCGAGAGGATCTCTCGGAGGCATCAGCATCTTCTGCCCCCTGTGCGACGCGGAACTAAGGACGAAGAGCGTGTCGCGTCACTTGAAAAGCCATCGAGCTCATGGCGATGCCGTGTGCGCCGGATTACCTCGAGCAACGGGTGGAAGGGGAAAGGCGGGAAGGACGCATGCCTGTTGGAAGGTTTTCTCTCGTAGGGATGCACTCCAACGCCACCTCATGGGAGCAGCCAAGAAAGGGCACGGTTGCAGAGGCAGTGTTGAAGAGATGGTGGAGTACTGGAAGAGTCACGGCCACGAAGTAGAGCTTGATTGATTGTTGTACTCAGAGATGACACTCTACTGGTTGCGCACCTTGTCTTATCTGTATGCTTCGCCTCGAGTTCGAAATTCATCAGGGCATGAATGCGAGCGACGGCCCCATGTGATACCGGTTAACGCCGCGGGCGGTGCCGACGAAGAGTCGGAACACTTTGCCGGTGCTATGGCGCTATCATGACTTCCATCTTCACCTTCCGCCATAACGACGATCCAGACACGCAGGTCTATCCTGCTACATACATACGACCACAGCCTGGCTGTTATCTCAAACCGAGACCATTTACTTCCGATGCCACGAATCAGTACATAACAAGCATGAAGGGGAACTGCTACTTCCGTTGACAAATATCAGCGAGCTAGTGCTGCATGTTATGCCTCGTGCGCTGCCACCCTGCGCTGTGAACTTGACGAAGCTTTCATGCTGTGGTGCGTGGCATAGAACGCGCGACACGAGGCGGCGTTCGTTTGATTCTGTGGGAGGACGATGGCCCCGACATCGACTACCGATGCGCGCGCACACAACGTCCGCCTTCCTTTGTCGTACGCCATGGCCTCATATACAACTGTGGAGAGGATCGTCTGCATCATCTCGACGCGCCCTTCTTTGCCACCCAGCATCGCCTTCCCGGGCCCCCCATGCAGACCTATACTTACTCTGATATCTTTGGACCTATGACTCAAAACCCGGACGCTCTGCTCGAACCTCACGTTACGCATACGCCAGTGGCAGCGCACTTTCCGCAAGCTCCATATAGTTTGAGCGCCGTGCATGATGGCGTGATGGACCCTGGACTGGGCGCTCTGCTTGGTCCCAGTTTCCCTGCTCCCCCTTACCGTCCTGGAGTCCCGTATGTGTCTCATGCCATAGAGTTTATGTGCGCTTTCTGACCTCTGCATTAGATTGGATCTGCGTCTTGACTGTAGTGCACCCTACATCTACTTACCGTGTGGCGGACCGTATGATGTCTCTTCCGCATCGTCGGCGTCTATCAGCCCATCGGTCCCGGAAAGCATCGATCCTCAGTTCCTCGCGTCTTCAGCCTCGGCCTTCGTGAGCCAGACATCAACGTCACCGAGTTACGGCAGTCGCATGTCGGCATCAACTACTCGCTTCGATTCCCGTGGTCCATGCTTTCAGAGCTCGACGCCGTCGAGCGAAGAGCGTGCATCTCCCATCGAACCCCCTGTTCGGCCTTCGAAACCACACAAGCAGCTCGACACCACCATTAAGGCGGGGCACCATTCACGCCAGGGCAAGACGGGAAAATCCATCGCCATCAAGAGCAAAGTCCGTCAGGTCCCTCGCAGGGCTGTTCTAGACGCTCTCAGGCGCCGACCGCTCCGGGAGCGGGCAGCGAGCGCGGATCCTCTGTGGGACGGAAAGCTGATCTGCGAGCTTTGCGAGAAGGCATACGAAGCGAAGAGTCTACAACGGCACCTCGAAAGCCACGGTCGGCAGAGCCTGAGGTCAACTTGGGTATGTTGCGGATTGCCCGACGGAAGGAATGGTCGAGAGCATGGCTGTGGGTATAAGTTTCATCATCGTCGCGATGCGTTAGTACGTCACCTGAAGAAGACGCGCTGCCTCGGAGATCTCGAGGAGATTAAGAGGCACATCCGCGAGGCGCGAGAGGAGGGGAGGGAGGTTTATCCGGGCGTACTCTAGTTATCACCTTACCTATACATACGAGTGGTTAAAAGCTCTACTGAATCGTCCGGTGTTTGTGAGCTTGAGCGGTTGTGTCGTTGTGCTGGGAGACAGTGGGAGACGCGTTGACTCCATATTTTCCCATGTGACCGCGTTCAGCCGCGCTCTCGCGCGGCGCGTTTAGGGTTCGGATCGACATCTTGGACAGCTTCACCGCGGACGATCGCGTCCAGCTTGCCCGCAATGTATATCTCGATGCGCGAGCGTCTCATGTGGGATCGAAGCGCCCAACTTCGTTCCTGTCACCGTCGAGCATGAGCAAGCCCACGGCGGTAGTGATTGGTGCAGGCGTCGGCGGCGTCGCGGTCGCGACGCGACTTGCGAAGGCTGGCTACAAGGTCGACGTGTACGAGAAGAATGATTTTATAGGCGGTCGATGCAGTCTTATCTTTGACGGCGGATATGTACGTGACATCACTTGGCTTGACTCTGGATGAATGCTGACGGTATCGACAGCGTTTCGATCAAGGGCCGTCGCTGCTGCTGCTGCCCGACCTCTTCCGCGAGACGTTCTCCGACTTGGGAACCACGCTCGAGGACGCAGGCGTGCGTCTAGTCAAGTGCGACCCGAATTACCTCGTGCACTTTCACGATGGAGAGACTTTCAGGCTCTCGACCGATCTGGCCGTCATGAAGGTATGACGTTTCCATCGCGAACGGCCTCACAGTCTGACGTTGTCGTAGAGCGAGGTAGAGAAGGTCGAAGGGAAAGATGGCTTCGAGAGGTCCGTAGGCCTGCAGAGCGTTGCATATAGCACTCACCGCTTGTTTAGGTACCTGAGCTGGCTGCAAGAGGCGCACAGACATTACGAGCTCTCTGTCGAGCATGTACTGAAGAAGAACTTCTACTCCTTCTTCTCACTCATGCGGCCCTCTTTCCTACGACATATCCTCACCCTGCACCCGCACGTATCCATTGTGCGCAGCCTCTTAGATGTACTCTCGTTCTCCATCTGACATGTGTTACAGTGGACTTGCGCCTCAAAGTACTTCAAGACCGAGCGCCTGCGGAGAGTGTTCACCTTCGGTGTGAGTTTTCATCAACTGTAGATGTGGATGGAGTCTGATGGGATGTTGCCTGTAGTCGATGTATATGGGTGTGAGTCGATTGTTCATGCTACGTATCCTTACCTCTTTTCTGAAGGCGAACGTGTAGATGAGGTGAGGCAGACCAGTCTATTGTCTACTCAGCGGCTGAATTTCGTTTTCAGTCCGTTCGACGCGCCAGGCACCTACTCTTTGCTACAGTACACCGAGTTAGCCGAGGGCATCTGGTATCCCATCGGCGGCTTCAACGCTGTAAGTCTAACCACAACCTCCCGTGATAGTGACTGACTACATACGTGTCAGGTGGTCCAAGCTCTAGTAAACTTGGCCAAGACACAGTCACTCGACGTCTCTTATCATCTTTCTTCTCCTGTCGAGAGCATCAACGTCTCCTTGTCCTCAGGCAAACCACGCTGCACCGGTGTATCGCTGGAATCCGGAGAGGCGGTTCACGCCGACATCGTCGTCTGCAACGCGGATCTGGTCTACAGCTACAAGGAACTCTTGCCTAAGAACGTTGAAGCTGAGCGATTGGACAAGAAAGCGGGAAGCTGCTCTAGTATCTCATTCTACTGGTCGATGAGTGAGAAGATCCCAGAACTGGGCACCCACAAGTACTTGATTCTCTTCGAGTATAGTTGCCACCTGACTTATCCTCTCCATTAGCGTCTTCCTCGCTGAACACTACGAGTCTTCGTTCACGTCCATATTCGCCGATCAGGAGCTACCAGTGGAGCCGTCGTTTTATGTCAATGTTCCCTCGCGTGTAGACAGCACCGCTGCGCCTGAAGGCAAGGATGCCATCGTGGTACTTGTTCCAGTCGGTCACCTGGGCGGACCACTCGGGTTACAGGAGGGCAGAATGTCAAAAGTGGTTGATATCGCTCGACGACGGGTGCTCGCCACGATAGAGGGCAGGATTGGCCTGTCAAGTGGCGAGTTTCAGAAGAAGATTGCGCATGAGATCGTCAATACACCGGAGACCTGTGAGAAATCAGTTCAGGGTCGCGTCTTCGGTCTGACAGGGGCATTTGCAAGGGCGCGATAAGTTCAACCTCGATAAGGGCGCGATCCTAGGACTATCCCATAGTTTTTTGTACGTTGTCTACCTGTTCTCCAGCGAGACACATGACTGAGTCACATCAAGCAACGTACTCTCTTTCAGGCCGCGGACAAAGCACCCCGATATAGACGGATGTTACTTCGTTGGAGCCTCAACCCATCCCGGTACCGGGTATGTCCATGATATAATTGTATGCTCGAGAGCGCGCTGCTGACTGTTGGTGGTTCTGAACAGTGTACCTATCTGCTTGGCGGGCGCAAAGATCACCGCTGGCGAGATTGTTGCTGACGCCCGCAACGAATTGTTGTACCCTACGGCCATCTACAAGCCAGGTCGCTCCTCAATCGGGTTGGATGCCGTCAACTCCTCCGGTCTAGGGATGCAGCTTGTAACGGCGGTCCTGGCGGTGATTTCCGCCTACGCTCTTTGGATGCTAGCAACTGCGGGCGTCTTGTTTTCCCAGTAAGGTCAAGGCCCGGACGCCGTAGATGTTGCAGGATTGTATAAGGCGCCTTTCACCGTCCCTACCAGTACAATAGCCCCCGCGCGATATGTCAATACCCTCCCTTGTGAGGCACGTTCTACCGCCGCTATACTGTTGAAAGCGGGTGCTTTTACTGCGAATCGCCGCTTCCGGTTGGAGACACGGACGCTTATGGACTCATCCGAACCAGATTACGACGCCGTGTTGTATATTCAGGTCCCGAGATCGCGTCCACGGTCTCGCCAACGCATCTCCTCTCGCACTTTCGCCGACTTAGCGTAACAAGCACACGTTGATGCGGAAGCAAACCCCACAACGACCTGAAAGGCCCGAAGCTTGAAGTTTAACCGACTGCTTTATCGAGTCTGACGTCGAGCATAAAGACGTCTCCCCTCGGTACCAATCATCTGTCCTTTCCGCTCCATCCCTACAGGCATTTTCCTCTGCGCCTCATGCCCTCGACATGGCCTGTACTGCTGCGGAGCAGGGTAGCATGGGCATGTGTGGCAGTGATCGTCGGTGCATCCTGGCTCTTGACATGGAGATGGCAAGACTCATTGGAGCATCCCATGGAGCTGGATGGCTCGCGGGCTGAACTCGAGGTACCGCAGACAGCTTCGGCCACGCTGGGATCGCTGGAGGCCTGGTTTCCGCCACTGGATGAGGCCATAGATTCGGGCGGCTTTCGAAGAGTTGAGGCGCATAACGCGCGACATATGCGTAACCTACTCAGATGTATGCAAGCTAAGACTTGCGGGAAGAATCAGGTCGGTTTACTGCCGTTTCGTGACGAGATCGTAGTCTGATCATTCTCTAGAGGAAAGGTTCGTGTCACGACGACATTATCCAGCTATGAAGGCGGCTTATAATGACGCTGGGTAGTGGTTATTCTGGAGGACTTGTACCTGGGTATGGTCCTGCGCGGCACCGACTGGCTGGGTGGCGAGATGATATGGTACGGTGCTTCACTGAGGTCTGACACTTGCGCTCAACATCTGACAGGGCAAATTCGACGGTTGGCTTGTTGTATGGCACTGCAAGGCTGGACCTGATCACTGATGGTGGATCGCACAGGTGAACGCCCTTCAGACGCTCGGGTACACGTATTTCTTCGCCCGCCAATGGGATCAGGTTCTGTCGTTTCACAACATGTTCCCTGATCTGGTGGTCGCGGTGGTGATGAGCCCTGAGACGATGACCGGATGCTGGGGTGATAAGTACGGTTGCGTGAAGTCGCCGCATAATCCGAACGGTATCCCTATCTGGAAGGTGCGCTCTGCGCGTGACTTGTCTCGATGGAGTCAAGCCCTGTGACTAAATTACACACAGATACTTACCTTCTACTTCTGGGGAAACGAGATATCCCCACTGGACGGTCGTTGGGTGGTACGCGCGCCTTTCATACCACATGTTCACCTATCTTACGCCACTCGCAGCTCAGTCCGGAACCATGGGGCACATATGGTACCGGCTATCCCAACACATACCTCGGCTACAGTATCGACGAAAGATGCACCCGCCATGCATTCGTTCCGACTCAGACGCGTGAACGGCGTGCTTATCTACTCACAAAGTTTCTACGCTTCCTCGTCCACAACGACTACGATGGCGATCCTGCATGGCCGGCAGACGTGTGGCAGCGCTTGACCAACGAACTCGATGTGACGCTTGTGGCAAGCATCAAGATCGATGTCATGCCCGATGATAGCCCGTTGCCTGCGGGTCTACCTGCGGGGATCGTTCGCCTACCTGAGCTTGGGCCGGAGGAGTTTGTAGACGAGCTAGCGAAGAGCAGAGTCTTGATCGGACTGGGCAACCCTAGGACGTGAGCGTGCCTTCACATTTACCACTCAGCCTGTGCTCACATCATATGCGCCCTTGCCCAGATCGCCCACGCCATACGAGGCACTCTGCATGGGGGTGCCGTTCATCAATCCAGTTCTAAGTGTGCGTGCGTTTTTCAACCGGGATGGTTGTACCATTTGGGACTTAGCGCCGTCTCACACAGTGGAATGAGCATGATCCTGATGACACATCGCAATGGACCTGCCAACACGAGACGCTCTGCCGGTACGGGCCAGGACCACCATACGTCTACAACGTCAAACGCGGTGACCGGCATGCCTTGATCGCCGCGATTCAAGCAGCACTGGATCACCCGATAGAACGGTATATTCTAGAAATGACGAAGCAAAGCGCAGTCGTTGAGCGATTGGACGCCATTCTGAGTCAAGATCGTTTGGGAATGGCGAGGGAGCTTTTACAGCAGCGAGAAGAGGGTACCCGGCAGGGGGAGGTGAGTTACACAGCTCTGCAATGCTGGAATCGTACTCATTCGCACGCTAGCTATTCGACCTATGAAAGCTGGGATGTCAGCGTGCAACTTGTATACTAGCGGCTAGACCGTCGCATGGGAAGTCGTTATATATGGAATCGGGGACTGTGATGCAGTGTGCGATACTGCATAACGAGGTGTTGAGATTGAAGTGTTTGCGCCAGCAAAAGATGTTCTCGTGCGTTGGTGTGGAAGTCTCTTCGCATGTAGTAATCCTAGACGAAAGAAAGGTGGGCGCGACGGCGGGCCTGTACTTCATTCCTGATATTTGTACGCGCCGAGACACCATACTCTCAGTCCGTGGGCCGTACAGGAAGCGAATATTCCTCGGCGTAATATGGCCCATTGATCAAGAGGCGCATGCTCGCGCGAGACGCGCGCGGGCCTTCAGACTCTAACATTCAACCCCAACCCCACCATCAGTAAGAGACGCGAGTGCTCGAGCGGAGCGGGACTGGTTCGAGTCTACATCAGTAACTCTGTTCGGCATCCGGAATCCGGGCTTGGCGCTTGGCTTCCACTCCCACCGACCTCTGTGTCCGCCGGGATGGAGAGGTGAGTTTCACGCTATGTGCTCTCGCTTGGCATTGATTGTTGAAACCGACTTTCCTATGTCAGCTATTCGAATTATAAGGATCAGTCGAGGAGTAATGGCATTCGCATAAATTATGGTATATGATATACGGCAGTTGCTACATAGCTACCCACTGTTCCTTCACCTGCGCGATCAGTCCTCGACGAGGTTGAAGGATGTTATCGAGCTATCCAGTAGTCCACGGGAAAAGCAGGAGTGATACCAGAAGTCCACGTTCTCCGTGATCTTCTTCGTCGGTATGGAATGCCTACGCGATAATCAGTCAGCGGTCAGTAGAGCGCAAGGGCGCGACACTTACTTTTTCTGCAAATGTTTGACGACATCGCGCTTGGACAGAAGCCCGTCATGCCGACCTTGAGCGTGCTGGGATGCGTCGTCGCCATAGTCATGACAGTGACAACAGCCGAAGCAGATGGGCGCTGTGTGAGTCACTTTGTATTTCTCATGGTATTTCGCTTCAAGAGCGGCCTGTTCGCGCTTCGTCAGAAGACGGATCCGCACATCGGCAGCGGTTTCTTTGTGCTCGTCGTGAACGTGGCCAACCTATTCAAAGATCTTAGTATGTGATAGCTTATGTACACTCGCGTACATACCGCTCTGCGCCACGAGAATACCTCCCTTGTGGCAACATGATGTCTATCAGAGATCCGATGAGACTCGCCAGCCTTCTTGAGATCAAGCCACGCCGATCTGGGCTTGCAGGATACGCAGACGAAGTGGGCATCGGCTAGATCCATATCTTCTATGGTCGAATCGTGCTTCATCCCAAGCAGACCCAGGAGCATCCGTACTGCGCCGACACCTTCGCTGGAAACTGTTACGGGCGAATCTTCGTACAGACTTTGGTACCGCTGCCGATAATCCTTGCGATCGTGGGACATAGCTTCACGGCCGAATCGCAACTCGTTGCTCCAATCCCGGCCCAAACGGAAAATCGCTATCGCTAGGGACAGTGCTTTCTCTTGCTTCGTGTTCTTGCTGATATAGCCACCTGTGAGGAGCAAGTTGTAAAGTTTGAGGTATTGCTCGTCCTGCACTTGGCGCATGCCCAGAATAGTTTGCCGAAGAGTGAGATCCAGCTGAGTGGTGTCGTCCCAACCCAGCCTATATCTATCAGGTGCGTCTTCTTCGACGAAGCTCTTGAGCGGCTCAAACTCCAAACATCGATTTGTTCGCGGGAAATATTGCACTTCCTGAGGTTGGACACAGCTCGGGTCATGGAGCATGCGGTCGTAGTGGGATCCAACATGCCGGATGCGAAAATCGCGGCGCTTTGCTGCCGCCTCAGAGTTCTTTTTTGCGCGATTGCCGTCTATAACACCTCGGATTGCAGGCCAGAGCTCCTTCCACTCTGCGAAAGTGGTTAGTGTATGCGTGAAGCCGCCTATGATGTCGCGTACCTTCATCTGTGAGAGGCTGTGCGATGTTGATACCCTTGAGCTTCCAGACACCAGACATGATCTTCTTATCGTAGGTGTTATAATCCAAGTCCTCCAGGCGTTTCTCGATTCTGTAGTTTATACGTCAGGATACAATTTATCGCAAAGGACTGATAGAGATCGTACTCTCGTTTGCGAGCGTTCTTTGCATCCGAGATTTCTCGCTGTCGACGTTCGCGCTCTTTTTTCTGCGCAGCGAGAAGATCCCTTTGCCACTTCGTCGCCATCTTCGCATGCTGCGTCACACTCGATCAGTCATCAAGAGTATCCGAAGATATGGGGGAGGGCGTACCACATAGCGAGCGGTGAAAGCGTCCCTGTGCTCCTCGACATACCGAAGCTCCTCGTCTGGGCCTTTGGCCAGAGCCGCCTTTTGACCGGCGACGAACGGATGATACTTCTCACCAAATGCGTAGCACGTGAGTGAGCCTACCATAGGGACCCTGTCATTATTTGAGGCAGATCATGATGCAAGATATAACGTACACTGACGCCCATATCCATATTGCGTGCGTCGCTCGGAGATGACTTTCTCGACGAATTCAGCGGGTATCAACTGCTGGATGCTGATACCGCGAAAGGACGTTGATGAAGGTCGATGAAGTCTGCAAGTGGATGTCGTTGGAGTCAGTTCAGTCGAGCCAGATCTTCCGTACTCACGTAGAGCTTATGCAAGCCTCACAAAGCCGAATGCGAAGATAGAATAGAATCTCTGGAGCGTTCTGCTTGTGACAGTGCTACAACTCGGTCAGTGGGACAGCAAAGGCACCGAGAATATAGCTTCTCGTACCTCACAAGTATCTCCGCCGAACAAAAGCAGGGCCCAGTGTTTAGCTCTCATCCCGTCAGGCGGCTGAGGGATGCCTGTCTCGTCACGGGAAAACGCTTCGCGCCATACGTGCTCGTAGGCGGGTGACAGCAGTAATTGACGAAATGATTTTGTGGTGCGAGATATATTGACGAGAGATGCCGGGTCCAGTGTGCAAAAGATCTCTTCAAGCACATCGAGCGGCATGGTGGGAAGCGCTTTCAATCCACCGCGGGTGATGTTTGGGTTCGTCTTCTGGGCGGTAGAACGACGGGGGGGAGCTCTCTTCGCGTTGGCCTTGTCGTGAGTAGTCTTCGCTCTCTTAGTAGCTAAACAACGTTGTCCAAGTTACTCTTGGTTCCCGAGCATTCAGGCGTATTCGATCTAAACGTACCAGGCTTGTGCTCTTGCGCGTTAGCATTGTCCGAATCTTCGTCCGACAAATCTTGAGCAGCACGCTTAGTCGCCCGAGATGGTACTGGAGCCGCCCGAGAGCGAGTTGTGGGTGCCATGTTGGCTAAGGGGATGGTGGTCGCGATGATAGACGCGTGACGCGTGATAAGTCGCGAGTGGTTCAACATCCCACGCTCTGACGAACCACAAGGCACGTGGGCGCGCCGAACCAGCCACGAGGCTCGCAAGTTGACGCACTTGTTCTCGACGCCCACGATAGGGTGCGGCCTTTCCATCAGCACCCGGGAGTTTTCCGGCCAACGATGGCGGCACAGAGCCAGCCTCTGAATGTCAGGCCTGAGCCTGCACCGATCGCTCAGCTCATACCACTCGCCCTCAGCGTCATATCCGGACTCTTCTCCCTTGCCCGGGCCGCCTGGGGTTACACAATCGCCGGAACCGCGCTCTTACTGGCACCTATCAGTTTCCTCGTCATCCCCGCTCTTGTATTTGTGTTTGCGCCCATAACCGCGTCCCTTCGTCTGGTCCTCGACCTTGTCCTGGCGCCTTATTACACGATCGTCTTCATCTCGCAGACCATCCTCCCGTTCTACATTATCATTGGATCTGCTCTCTTTTGTGGTACTATACTTGGTCTATGCGCTAGGCAGGCGGTCGGACTGACTGGCACGATACTTCTGGGGCGGAGCATTAAAGAAGGACGTGGACGTGCGATCGGACAACCGACGTCGTCTGTGCCTACGTTGCGCACACCTAGTAGGGGGAAGAAGCGAGCAAGTGTCAAATTTGAACCGGGGGCCTAGATATTCGGGTGCGTAGCGGATTTGTTGATCACAACATAATGCTGATGACCGAACAAGCGAACATGCATATCGAAGACAACGGTCTTTTGATGTCTTGCTATCTCATCGACTAGGATATTGTGGTATGTGACAGCGAGTCTATCTTGAACTGGATGTTACATCTAAATCCTTTCATAGATTTGTATTGTTGTCGATCGCTTTCTGTACACTAAGTCGTAGTCTATCATACGATCAGCATCGGGGCGTCTGTCGTTGGTGAGTCTCACTCGCGATGCCGACATGTCGACGTACTGATCCCGGTCGTTGATCAGTATCGTATCAAAAAGTCGCTTTATAATCGCATAGCATGCACGCGGAACATATGATGGATCAAGCCGTTTGTCTCGGAGTAGCCTGCGAGCTACCGCTTGTGGCTGAGCTAGGTGCCACCTTGAGTGCGCGAACGAGTGCGCATCTCAAGCATTTGCTGTGCGACGGCGGCCGTCAACAGGCACATGCCCTGGTTTGTCTCACTTCTTGGCTTCTGTCTATGAGAGCGATAATACTCAGCACACATCGTGTACGAAAGGTCGACTCATCTCATGGAGTCATGATAAGAAAGAATGCCTACTTACTCGTCATCCCTGAGGTTGTATCGGTATGGCGGATCACACAAGATACAAACGGATACGTAGAATAATACAGGTACTTGCCATTCTTCACATGAGGACCCGCACTGCCGGAGACGAGAGATTCTGAAAGACATAAACTACCTTTAGCTAATGCAGATCGGCTGCTGAACTTCCCGCTTGCGAAAGGACCACATGTACTGCATGTCATCAAGTGTAGCTCTCCGATAGGGCCTCTTAGTGCAGTCACTAAGTACGGCGGGTTTCTCGGGTGGCGCGGATAGTTTCGACTTTTTACGCAATCTGCCGCCACCTCGGGTATATAAGCTCCCTGTACTTCTCACTTGATTCGCAGGGAACTATGATCCTTCAGCGTCAGCGATATCGCATTCCGGACTGCTTGGCGAATTGGCCCTGGCCCTGTCGTATCAACGAACACTACTCCACAGTCAAGGCGGCCTCGGCTGCTTGGATGCGCTCATTTCATGCAATATCTCCTGGTACTCTGCAAGCCTATGATCGATGCAACTTCAGTACGCTTTGTGACGCGACTACGTTCTCTGGACGCTAACGGTAACGCAGGTCTGCTTGCATCTATGGTCTACCTAGGCCACGACGCACCCCGTCTTCGCACTGCATGTGATGTTATGGACCTCTTCTTTTTCTTTGACGATTCCTCGGACGTAGCAACATCGGAGGAGGTGGAGGCTATGACCGAGATCATGATGGATGCGTTGCACAACCCTCACAAGCCGCGTGCGGAAGGCGAATGGGTCGGGGGAGAACTCACTCGACAGTAAGTCCCGCGGAGTGCTTTAGAGTCATCTCACGAGCTCACGATTCCTAGGTTCTGGGAACTAGCCATAGAAACTGCATCTCCGGGTTCTCAGAAGCGCTTTCTGGAGTACTACGACCAGTATGCTCGGTCCGTCGTGCGGGAAGCCCAAATACGCAATGACGACATCCCCATCGCATCTGTCGAAGAGTACTTCCTGTTGCGGCGTCTTACAATTGGCGCGAAACCAGCTTTTGCCATCATCGAGCTCGACCTGGACTTACCCCAGGAAGTTGTTGATCATCCTGTAATCCGGGAAATGGAGGTACTTAGCGTCGACATGATAATCTTGTCCAACGTGAGTAGACGTCACAGATACTGTCTTTCAGCCATGGACTTGAAGTGCACTATCCAGGATATCGTGAGCTACAACAAAGAGCAAGCATGCGGAGACGCCATCAGCAACATCATAACGATCATCACGGTCACTCATCACACAGGCGTGCAGGATGCCATGGACTGTAGGCCGCATCGTCCGACAGAGACTACTCACATGCTGATTGGCCTCACGCATATAGGGGTCGAGCGCCACTATCACGATTGTGCTGCACGCTTCCTCGAGCTATACTACCACCACGTGCCAAAGTTCCATTCATATCGTGTTGACGCGGATGTTGCGCGATATGTTGACGGTCTCGGGAACTGGGTAATTCTCTCATACGATGTCACACACGTCTGGCCAGTCCTTAACCACGTTTCCAGGTACGGGCAAACGATAGGTGGAACTACGAGAGTGAACGCTACCTTGGGAAGCGTGGGCTTGAGATCATCAAAGATCGCTGGGTGACGTTATTACCCAAGGAGCAGCGCGACAACAAAGACATAGGTCGGCTCATCAACGACGCCTTACTATAGAGATAGGCCGCCAAGATCGACTCGATAAGTAGAAGCCGATGAAGAAGTGTATAATTCATGTGATAGCGATAAAGTTACAGGGAGCCGTGGGATATGGGAATGGAATAGACGTCAACAGGAACTCATTGCATCTATCCTATGGCTCTTGAGCGGCTATTCTGCCCGCACTGAACCACTCCCCGTGTAACCCGTAAGGTACTCGTTGCGGGAGTGCAATACGGCATACTGTGCCGATGTCCATAGTACGTGCGTCTATGATCCACAGTTCGCTGATGGCACTCTCAAGACCACAACTCCCGCCTTTCTCAGCCTCATTCAGCTGGCGCTCGTCGAATACATACGTCAGCAACCAACCATCATCCTCCTCGTCTTGGAGTTCTTCTGGGAGAACCTCGTGTCGTGGAACAAACGTAACTTCCTGCGCAAAGCATCCCTCCGGGAGACGCAGCATACGCACACTTGTGTCATCGCCCGCCTCTTGTGCATCCCATAGCTCTTGCGCGCTTCGGTTGTCAACAGGTACCGCGTGTTCCCCCTCGCCGCGCTCGAGACCTTGCGTTATCAATCGTGAGGTGTCGATCTTGAGCAGCGTGTCAACTTTGAAGCCCGAGGAAAGCACGTCTGAGTAACCTGTCAGCTCCGCTGGCGGGAGCCGGGCCGTCTCCGGGCCGTGATGCGATGTTGAGGTATACGGATCCCACGGCCCTGGCACCGGATGGTCGAAGAAGGAGCACCCCCATACCCATCGTTGGGAGTGCATAGAGCGTGCAGGGTGTATTGCGCTGAACTCAAAGGGTAGCGAAAGCAGCGGGAAGGCGTGGCTCGGCCGAGGGTGGCGTTGTGCGGCAAGCGTATCATGGAGGGGGAGGCGATCTTCGTAGTATCGCGTTAGCGTCAACAGAGAAGACTAAAGGACACTGTGCGTACAGTAGTAAAGAAGGCATTCGTCTGTGCCTGCATGCGTCGGCACCGGCAAGGCACCTGCGGCGTATACAAGGGCAGGCCCACCCATCCTGCTCACAAGCATCTCAACCGCCCGTTGCTCAGGCGCATCCCACGCGTTGGTGGTATGGAAGACGCATCCACCTGGACGATCCAATTCAAACCAAACAACCTCTTCGGGTGCGTATCGCGGAAGCACGCCGATACGACTCGGTATGGTTGGGTCATATGTCAATGATGGAGAGATGGACTGGCGCTTGATAGATGGTAGAATATCGAGCGAGAGTGGGAAGTCCAAGAACAGGGTGTGTGTTGGCGTAACGCCAAAGTCGTGCATCATGCGCGGAGCCCTGAGACCAGGTACTGGCTTGCGGACAAGTTGAGACCTTGAGGAGGAATTGGAGGGTTGTAACACGGTGTAATAGAGGTAGGGAGCGAAGAATGAAGCGTGAAATGCAACGAACTCGTTCGTCTCTGGGTCGACATGGGGCTGAATGGTGGTAAGCAAGACGATCAAGGGACTTGTGAGCCGTGGGACGTACATGTGCCGTCATCCATTCCTGAAAAAAGGCCTTGAGCTTGAATATACTCTGCAACATCGACACTCGCGGTAGTGCGCCGCCGAGCAGCCACCAGCCTCGCGTGTCAAGCTGCGGCAAACCAACCCGCATTGGCGGTCCACTCTCACAGGTAGCGAGGGCGCGTCTATCCCACCAGATGATCGCTGTGTTTGCGACGCTGATGCGTGCGATGCCACCTCCTGCCTTGTTCCATAGCGCCAGTATCCAACTGAGCGCAACTACCAATATGCAGCGAAGGTACTCGAGAAGAACAAGCAGTTGTGGCGCCCGAGCGTCAATCAAAGACGTGATGCTAGGGAAGGTTGCGCGCGATAGACTGAACCGCTTGGCCGCGGCCAGAACGTCCGTCTGTAGCCAACGGGAAGTGAATAGCGGCCCGCGCTCGAAATCGAAGTAGACGCCGGCCAACATTCCGTCTCCGTCGAACATGTGGTATGGTCGTAAATTGTCCGTGTTCACGTTTGGCGCAGGGTTCGAGCCGTTTCGCACGTAGATGCCGCCGGAGAGTTGCGGCGGGATCGTTCCTTGGAGTATTCTGCAAGGAGTGAGCGGCACCTCGTTTGTAACGGGCGCGCGATTCCCAGAGAGGTATGCGTGATTCATAGCAAGTAAGAGTAGAACAGCCGTTTAGGCACGAGGGTTGCAGTATAATCGAGACGGTGGTGACAGTGATGCGGTCGTGTGGCTGGATCGGAGGTTACCAGACGGAAAAGATATTCTCCTTCCTCGAACCCTGGACGTTTTGATACGACGCAGCAACAACAGGAGGTGATTCGGGAGCCGGTGTAAACATAGGGCGGCCAAAACCAGACCCGACACACCCCCTCAAGTTGTTGAGTCCGCCGACATGACGCAACGCCGATGTCTTTGCCTGTGATCAAGTTCACACAGGGCCCAGTACCGACGGTTCATCGTAACGCCAGTGTCTTCTGCTGAGTGCGCAGGGTAATCCGCATTCCTTTTGATAGAAAGTAAGGGGCTCATCGACGCCGGGAGGGCGCCGGAGATGCTCGGAGATGACGCGGGCAAGGCGGTTTCGCGGTCACGTGCGATGTCCAGCTTTGGGATCAGCATCGAATGGGTGCATAGGCTCGCGATCGAGTGAGCTGACAGTGGAGGACCGAGGGTTGACAGCACACGGCCATGGGCACCGCCTACGCAAAAGTGTACGCCAGGCTTCTAGTATCTGTTCTGTTCTGAAATTGAACAAAATCGCGACAGACACCTGTTATACACCATCCCTCCGGCGTTGTTCTTGTGGCGATTCTTCCGTCGTTTACGCTCCGCACGCGATGTTTTCTTGACGACATTCCTCGTCACGGTCGGTGCAACCATTCACTAACTTGACGCATCTCAATGGAATATGTTATAGGTCGCGATAGTAGCGACGACGCCGTGGGACTCGTACCTCATACACACGAACGTGTGGACCTATCCACCTGACGCGGTACTCGGCCCCAAGCTGTTCGACATCCCAGCCGAGGAGGTCTTCTTCTTCTTCATCCAGACGTATATCACGTCGCAAATATATCTGCTCGCTTCGAAACCGGTCCTCCATCCCGTGTACCTGCGACGGCGCAGCAGCTCTTCGCAGCTCGCAGAAGTGGTCGGTGGCGGAATTCTAGTTGCACTTTGCGCGATTGGTTTCTACCTCCAGACCATCGGCAGAGAATACACGTACCTCTCTTTAATCCTGTCCTGGGCGTGCCCGTTCCTGCTCTTCCTCTGGACTATGGCATCGTCGCACATGGTGGCGCTTCCATTGACCAGTACGCTCATGCCGATAGCGGTACCGACCCTCTATCTTTGGCTCGTGGACACTCTCGCGTTGCACCGAGGGACTTGGGCGATCGTGGACGGTACAAAGACAGGGCTTTTCCTGTGGCCACATCTCGAGCTCGAGGAAGCACTCTTCTTCCTCGTGACCAACTCCATGATAGTTCTCGGGCTCGTCGCAGGCGATAAAGCCTTCGCCGTATGCGATACTCTCGATTGGGATGCCGGCGCATCGTTCCGCACGGTTCCGCTCCTCGTACGGGCGCTCTTCGCTCCTTTGGATCAGGAGCGACTAAAGGCCATCGATATCGCGCACGAGACGCTTGCAACGAAGGAGCACGGGAAGAGTTTCCTGGCGGCGAGCATGCTCTTCCCTGGTCCGCAGCGTATCGACCTACTGCAGCTCTACGCGCTTTGTCGGATTTGCGACAACCTGATTGACGACGCTCCGGACACGCATGCTGCTGCACTCGCACTGGGGGGCATCAGGGCGTTATTGGCCGGGCGGAGTGACGAGAAGGCATCGCGAAGCGAAGGCGATGCTACCGTCTCGGCGTATGAACTGGCACCGGAAGCGCAGGAAGCATTGCGCACACTGCGTGCCGCGCTCAAGGACAAGGTGCCGCAAGTGTACATCGACCAGCTTCTGGCAGGCTTCGAAACCGACCTGACATTCTCCGCACGCGCATCTTCACCGAATAGTTCAGTCTCTTCCATGTCCGAAGATGGCACCAGTCTCAAGTCAGGCCCTCTTGGAGACGAAGAACGCTATCCGATCCGCACGAACGCCGACCTCCTGCTCTACTCTCAGCGCGTGGCCGGTGCTGTCGCCGCGATGTGCGTCTGCCTCCTCTGGTCTGGCGTCCCACTGGACGACTCCCCCGCAGGGTTTGTTGATGACGAGGACCTAGCCATCCACGGACACCCAAACAAGCGAGGAGACAGTGTATTATATCACGCCCAGCGCGTAGGGCGCGCGCTGCAGCTCGTCAACATCGCCCGCGACATTCGCATCGACGCCCGTGATGGCGCGCGTTGCTACATCCCAGCGTCCTTCCTCGCGCTTCCCGAGCACAGCACAACGCCGGCTCGACTCGTGATGTACCTCCGCGCGCGTATGGCTTCATCCGAGAGCATCACCGTCGACGAGAAGCTGGAGAAGACGGTGCGAGACGCGCAGATTTGGCTGGTGGACAGGGCTCGAGCCATGTACGCAGACAGCGGATTTGCTATCGCAAGGATGCCGAAGGATACGAAGGGGGGGCTGCGAGCCGCCGTGGAGCAATATCTAGCGCTCGGCGACGAACTGCTCAGGCCTGACGGTGAGGGTGTGATGCGCGTACGCGTGCCTATGCGGCGAAGGATTGGGGTCGCATGGCAAGCCGCGGGGAAGGCTTGAGCGCTGAGAGTAGGTGGGAAGATAGACGACGGAAAGGTCATGACGGGTTAACAGTAGGGAACGTAGTGTAGACTCACATATTTCTCCCTTTAAACTAGCACATGCGCAGAACATTCATCGACTATTGCCTCGTTTCCCCTGCGCGGATTTCTAGATCGGTCAATTGAGACATGCTCAACCCATATGGGAAGTATGGTGAGAGTGCGGTGTAAGGGATACAGATGATGATAAGTCGTCGTTGACGTTGAGACTGTCAAGTCAACTTTCTCCGGAGTACACCGGAGACGCGTTCGCGTAATAGGGGCGTACAACCCCTCACGGGACCGCGAGCCCATCCGCACGTCGGCCGCAGCGGCGACCGACGCGACCTGTCGCGCCGAACTTCCATCTGTCTCGATGAGTCTCCTCAATCGACATCGTTCTCGAGCCATCCCCGTCGTAATGCTGTCTCAAAGTCTGACTTGATTCTCCGCGCGCGCGAGGGGTTGCGCTAGGAGGTTCAGCCGACCCGAAACTGGATGACGACTCCGCTCTGTAGGAGACTCGCAACGGCTATTCCTAGCCACGCTCCTGTCTCCTAACCTCTTATAAAATCTTGAGCGCCGAGGACAAGGACATTCATCACAATCAAACACTTCATACTCTACAGCAATGGACAGCCTCCCCATCGCAGATACGCTCTCGAGCATCAGCTCGAACCCTTCTCGAGCGGATATTGGTCTCACCACCGGCACGACCGACTGGCTATGGGCCGTTTTCGCGCTCATGTTCACGTCTTCCGTCGTCTTTATCGGCTGGTCGTTCACGGTGATATTCCATCGCATCCGCGCTCCGTGCTGTGATTGACATATTCTTCAATAGCGCCCCCTCGGTACCCGCGTCTTCCACCAGATCCCTGTCATCATTCTCATGACGGCGAGCATCGCCTACTTCTGCATGGCTAGCAACCTCGGTGGTACTCCCATTCCCGTGGAATTCAACGGCGTTGGTCGCACCCGGGCGATCTGGTACGTGCGGTACATCGTGAGTATACGTTATCTTCTTTATCAAACCGCAATTCACTTATCGTGCCTACAGGATTGGACGATCACGACGCCGCTGCTTTTGCTCGAGCTTCTGCTTGGCACAGGCCTTCCTCTGTCCGATATCGTCACTCTCATCTTCTTCGACCTCGTCATGATTATCACCGGTCTCATTGGTTCGCTCGTTGCTAGCGCGTACAAGTATGTGGATCCCTGCCCTCACTCCCGCCGTTACTTATCGCTTTCAGATGGGCTTTCTTCACCGGAGGCATGCTCGCATTGTTCTACATTTGGGCTGTTCTCATCGGTGGCGCCCGCACATCTGCCCACCTCATCTCACCTGCCGCTGGACGCGCGTTCACCGGCTCCGCCCTTTACCTGAGCTTCATCTGGCTTCTCTACCCGATTGCGTGGGGTCTTGCTGACGGCGGAAACGTTCTGCACCCCTCTGGCGAGATGATCTTCTACGGCAGTAAGTACCTTGTCGGCCTATCGTTGGACGAAGCTTACAACTCTTTTCAGTCCTCGATCTCCTTGCCAAGCCCGTCTTCTGCTTTTGGCACGCCGCGCAGATGCGCAAGATCCCTTACGAGTCGTACGCACTCAGTTCCGGCAAGGTCTCTTCGGGTCACGGCGCTCTCCAGGCTGGTGCTGTCGGAGCTGCTGCGGGCGCCGCGGCGACTCACCATCATGAGAAGCATCCGGTTACCAACGGAGTTGCCAACGGTCACAATGGTGTCATGAACGGCAATGGGGTTGCGAGCGGCCACAACAGTGTCGCCGGTGACGCGGCGAACGGTCATGGTCATCATGCCGCCACGGACGCTGCTGCCGGTGCTACTGTAGGCGCTGCTGCTGAGCATCATCACGACCGTGTCCACCCGAATGGGTCGAGCGTCACGAATGATGATGCGCCCATCACGTCCGGAGCGAGCGAGTCTGCCCCTGGCTACGTCTCTTCTGCTCACGACTCATCTGTCACCGGTGCCCGCCTCGCTTGAGATGTTGGCTCAACATTCGGGTGACATTTACGGTCCCTATTTACATAGCTTGCACTACTAGCATGTCAGTCGGCTTTTTTGCACACCAATCACATCTCGCTTCATATATCGTGCAAGGAGTGTCTCTTATCGTAAGAAATAACCTGTTCAGAGGTATTCATTACAGTCCACATTCTGCCAGTGGCGGAAAGTCACGAGCAATCGATTCGACATGCGTTCCCAAACATAGACGTATCTCTGCGCTATAGATGGTAGCTTCAATCCGCGCCGATGCATCACGAGTATGTTCTCCTCATTGGCTCGGTGTTAGATAAGGTGCGCCGTGTCGCTGCCGCACGGCGCGTCCATGCCAACCTGATACTCTGTGGTCTACTTGCAGTCCGCGGCGCGCGCTCCTCTCCCTCTCCCCTTCACTATGGGGTCCGAGACTTGAGTTTGGGCGCGAAGCGATCATATACAAGCTACCTAGTTTCCGACGAACACGATGTTAATTGACGTTCATTAATGCCTGGTACCGCAGAGTCTACATGAGGTATACATGGATGATAAGTATCGAACCGTCTTATTCTTATCTCCTCTGCACGTCCTCTCCAACCTGACTGCTACTCTTGATGTCCCGGTTCAAGCGGTATCCTGAGTCTGAGCCATACGTCGGAGAATTGTGTCCTCCTTCTGATCCCATATGATGTCGCTCTCAGGACTAACCTGACGCAAACCAGCTACCGAATGCGCTTTGACTCTGCAGCTTTTCATGTTTAATACGCCGACGGTGCGTCGGCGCAGCAGAAGCTCGAGCGTAGTCAGCCCAAGACCACCCTCGCCGAGGTCAACTCCGTAGATTGCTAGCACGTTGAGCGCCGGAAATAGAGGCAGGCCAGACCCATCTCCTTGTAACAAGGCGCACAAGAGTGCTACGGCGCCTGCATCGCCGTGTACGCACAACTTGTACAGACGGGGGCAATCGCTGAAGATTCGCTGCCAGTCTGCAAGCGGGATAGCATTGCGTGAGCCCGAAATGGTCATTGTCTCGAGATAATCCAAGGACCAGTCTCGAGCGATGACTCCGAGTGCGTGCGCAAGAGGACTGTAGCCGGAGCCCGATGCATCGTCTATCGCGGGGGCCTCTTCGTGCGAGTCCACGCTAGCGCCACTTAGCTGTACCGCGAGCTGGTTAACCAGCCACGGAATCTCGACGGCTAGATGTGGCGCGGCTTCGGTAGCTGAGATAGCCTCAGGGCTGATTGGGTGCGGTCCGGGCGTGTAGGAATCCAGGACGATATGGGGGATATGGTACCCCGGATCCTCGTCCCATGGGAGAGGATCAAAGTTCACGGACTTCTCGCAGTCGAACTCGACTTCCGCACAAGGATGTCCGTCCAGACCAAAACGCATCGAATTGATGCTGACCTCGGCATGTAGATGACGAACGGGTTGCATTCCTTCGCGCGGCCCGTCTGAGCCCACACCGTGCGTATGCATGCGCACGGCCTCAATCAGTCGCTGATGTGGGGGTACGTCGTCCTCAGGTAGTGGGGGGTATATGTCTTCATTTTCTATGTCTTCGAAGACCTCCTCGGGGTGTGGGTGAGAACAATCACTCTCGACTTCGACGAATGCTGTGGGAGGTACAACAAAGTGGGTGAAGAAATCCCGAGCTTCCGGGCACCGCTCTATACCAAGACTGACGTGCACAAGCCTTGGTAGCTCCAATTGCGATGATGGTGCCGTTGCTGCGGATGTGCACAGCGGTAAGGCGTTGTGCAGGCGCAAGTCTTGAAGCCGCGGCAGGCGTTCAAGGACGTCTCGAAGCTGCGGGTACGTCCATCTCCATCGGCGCGGAATGCAATTGAGATTCAAGTAGCTTAATGTTGGCACAAGGAGAGCAGAGCTGGGTGGGAGGCCAACCAGGGTAAGGCCAAGGGAATGCAATTGAGGCACGACGCCTTGGAAGAGTGATATATCCGCCAAGTCGAGAGGGTCCATGTTCAAATAATCCAGTCGCGATAATGTGAATTGCATTCCGATGGGGCCATACTCAAAATACTCGAGTAACGGCGCGGGGTGTTTCGTCATGAAGGGGACAAACCAGGTATCCCGCTCTGCGAATTTCGGATGCTCAACGCGGAGAGTGCGCACGCGGTCTAGATGCCTAAGAGCCGCGGTAGATGACAGAGGATAGTCCTTCGTATTGAGGCCATAATACAGATCTATAGGTGCAGCGCCAGAGCGAGAGAGCGCCAACTCCATCCAATGGGAGTTCCATGTCGGTACGGACGTCCAATATGCGGGGAAGTTGAAACAGATCTCACGCCAACGGGAGCAGACGTGCAGGACGGCCATCCAAGTTAAAGGGCGAGTGACTTTGTATTCGCCGTGGCCATCACCAGCGTTTAGCCAGGATCGGTCCTCGTCGGTGAGGCGAAGTATGCGCACGAGGACTTCAGGTGGGAGACGCTGCGTCGCGGAAAGATGGTTCCTCTGACGACGAAGCGCAATGAGCTCGTCCCGAGTCTGGGTGATTTCTGCATCGATATCCTGCAGGCTTCTCATGATGGTATCGGCGAAACTGAGGATTGCCTCAAGTTAGTAATGTACGATGTCCTGGTATGACAAGGGGGCGGCGCACGGATTGCAGTGCGCAGTTGTGCGGCGCGTTTCAGGAGCGCAGCTACTATCGAGGACTGGGTTGAGGATGACGAGCACGCGTTCAAGACGGGAGGCGTTGAGCGTTGAGACTGGGACTCCTGCTCAAGCATATATAAGGCGAGGAGTATGACGTCGGATTGATCGTCCCCCCAGCTCATGATGGCGGTTGTAACTTAGGTTCAAAGCTCGCGGCGACTGCGCCGGCTCCGAGTCGACCAAGGCTCGACGCGCGCCGCGACGCAGTGCCCCTCAATCTCAGCCTTTACAAGATGCGGCAAGCCAAACAACCCTTTTGGAACTTGTACTCGTACTACTTCACGAAGTGACTGTTTAGTTGACACACTCAAGCACGACGGCAACCACAGACAACAAGGCTGAGCGATGAATAACTTGGCAAAATGATGCGCGGTACGCGATGAGATCAAACATCATGGCCGGGTCGTAGAGAGTTCGTACGCGACGCCATATCCACTCCACCCATCTTCTGCACGAAACCAACCCCATGTATATGATACTGCTCCCCGACCAGCTCCTTCGTAGCGACCATGAGTCGATCCAGGCGGTTTACAATCCCGAAAGCAGTCGACACGCCGACACAGAAGACGCTATGTATTTCACCATGTCAGCGGAGCTCGGGCACAGTGTGATGAGAAGACCACGTACGAGTACTGCTCATTCTCGAGCGTATCGATCGTCATTGTCCGAGGCAGTCCGTAGTCGTCGTCTTGTTCGTGCCGAAGGATGTTGAGACCGTGACCATGAACGATGAATCGCTCTAGTAAAGGGCACGGGGTGATCTGCGGTAATGGAGCGCCGGTGCGTAAGGCAGTAGAGATGAGGGAGATGACGGCCAGAACGTCGCCCTGAAAGTCGGCGTCCAAGAATCGTGTGCGACGAAGGAAGGCGCGAGACCAGACGGGCTCGAGGTGCTCAACCACTGAGAGTAAGTGGGAGAGCAGGTTGCTAATTTCGATCTGTATTTCGAGGACCTTCTGATATCTCTCCGTAGGCCACTTCCCTCGCAGGGAGAACTCGTAAACGATATTCGTCTTCAAGAACATCGAGCGCTTGAGTTTCAGGCGTATGGCCACCAGGCGCTGCATGATCTCTCGCGTATTCTCATGAGAGCCACGTGAGTTCGCATACGATACGATGGCGCAGTAAGCGCCCCCAATCTCAGATATGGTCGTAGCATATGTGCGCCGTTGATATGCGCGCAGCGTCGCTGATGGTGGGAGGAGTGAGAAAATACTGCGTAATTGCATCAGTAACACGCAACGTTTGTGTTCGGTGCAGAAGTTCCACTCACAACGCTGCGACAACACCGCACGTCACGAGTAGGAAACGTCGCTATACTTGACGTGAGCGCAATCATACAGAGTAGATGGGTTGATACGCACCCAAGCCAAGTTGATCCCGTATGCACTGAAAGTCCCGGCAATGTAGTGCGTGTTCTGCCAGGAGAAGCCGATGATGAGAAC